ATTAAACTTTCTTCCCTGTATGAGTGTAATTATCCGACGTGTAATTATCAAAGCTCTCTTAGGCGTCTCAAAAGACGTCTTTCCTAGAAGTATCAACGAAGAGTTAAAGGAAATATACTCATATATCACACATTTCTAGAATAATTTATACAGTTTCTTATTATAACAGTTGTACTAAGTATTTTTGTTGTATTTTTCTGTTTCAGAACTTTATTGCAATCGCACGCATAGCAATGAAGTAATCGACTGTTTGTATCGGTAAAATAAAAATTTCGCCAAGTAGAATCAGTGTGTGTGTTCGTTTGTGTTTCGCAATTTAAACAACAAGTGTTTTTGTATTGATTGCGTACAATGCAGTCCTTGGAGTTAGTGTTTGTTCGCAAAGTGTTTTTTTATTTTAACAGTCGCACAGACTATATTTATAAAAGACAGTAGAGTTTCGCAAAGTAAATTCAGTGACTGTCCGTTAATAAATAACTACCACGAATTAGAGTCAATGTATTACTGAAGAGGAACTCATCCAACTTTGATGTTGACCTACCTCATTTTCAGCCACCTATGAATTATCCACCCTCAATTTCGACCTAAATTGCGAACGAGTGTTTTAGAGACATCGCAGAACTTTTTAAGTAATAAGTGGATTTTTAAGTCACTTCGATCAGTCAATCATGTCGAGAACGAATGGTCCAAATCAGCAAGAGTGATCGGTTGTAATTATTAGTAGAAGAAGATTGAATGACCACGAATAAATTTCTTCGGAGATTTATTGTGAATGGTTTTTTATTTTTTGATTTATTTATTAGATCAAGATAGAGTTTTTTATTCAAACGCTTTTATAATTATTTAAAATTTTGAATATTTTAATGCATTTTTAAATATTTTTCTTGTGCAGAAATAATAAAGAATTGATATTTATGAGTTTTAATGACCAAGAAGACATTCACGATAAATAATTTCTGAATTACAAGTGAAATTGGTTCATGATTTTTTTATAATAATAAAAATACTCGCTTATAAGAAAAAGCGTCAAAGCGTTACTTTATATTTTTAAATAATTATTAATTAAATATTTAATCAATTTGAATTGATAAAAGAGAAGTCTCGATAAAGTTATTGCTTTTGAAATAGAAAAGTTGAGTCAAGTATTTGCTAAAAAACAAAGAGACTTTTTTCAGAGTCATATTCCGTAGGCATAAATGATAAGTTAATGAATTTTTAACTTACAGAATTTTCAGTAATTAATATATTGATTCTATCTCTCGGAAAGATAATAATCAGTTTCTATCCAAAAAAATACGGTTTATACTTTTCAAATACGTTAGGATTGTATTAGTATTTTATTCCATATCTTAGAATATGGAATCAAATTTTGTTGAATCAGTTTTTGAGTGATAATCAATTAAGTTAGGGCACGAAGCAAAGAAAAGGCTATATGCTGAAGAGGCTCCCACAAACTGTAGTTCAAGAAGGTAATTATTGGCTGTTGAGTTATTTTCGAAGATTCATCCAAAACTTTCGAGAATGGTACTTAGTCATATTTTAATTTTACTATGTTGTCATTCAAAATGCTCTTATGATAAAGTGTAGAAATATAAATTTGAAAGACTGAAACGACGTAACTTCCGTTTTCCGTTTTCCGTTTTCCGTTTCCCACATTGCCACACATACACGAATAGGATTCTTTCATATTTCATGCATTTTTATTATTAAAATAGGCATAAATTTTGCATATTTTCTTTTCCAAAATTCGTTTGTATTAAAAATGTTTTACGTTAAACTTGAATGATAAATTTTGCATATTTTCTCTTTTCTAAAGTTCTATTAAATTCATAATTTTATTTTAATATAATCGAGTTTTATATTAAAGTCATAGCTCCGAAACGTATAGAATATTCATATATCAACAGACTACTGAAAGTGCATTGAATCATTGTGCACAGGAAGCTGAAACGAGCACACAAGGAAGTATCAAGGTCCCACTTCGCCAGCATAAGCGACTAGGATTATTTGATATTTTGCATTTTTATTATTAAAATTGAGTTTTATACATTTTTCACTTTTTCTTTTTCTTAATGTGAAATTAAATTCATGTATCTTCATGAATTTAATCTTTCATAAGTAATATATTTATTATTTCTATTACGTTTACAGGCATAGTCACGAAACGTATAAGATATGATAATTGTGGGGATCACTAAAGTGCACTGAATAAAAATGTACATGGAGCTGGAACAAGCAGAACGGGATGTATACCAATTTCTTCAAGTTTTGCCAAGCGTTACTAATATAATATTTCTTTCAGAGAAAATAATTTCTTTAGATCAGTATCCAGGATTTTTCATTTCTTTTTACTTTTTTAAAGTTAAATTAAATTAATTCAGAATTTCACATTTCGTATAAATAATATACATATTCTTTTTTCTTTCCTTATTAATTTTCAGCTAGTTTCAGTTCATGGCATCGCAAACTCGAAAAGGAATAATTAATAAATAAGATTATTAACATTTATACAATGTGAAATATATTGATATAGTGATTAATTAATATTTAAGCAATAGGATATTTTTAGCAACATTACAAAGATCATGTACATATACTATAATATACTATCGATTTAAAATTGATCATGTTGAATACACACTGATTTAGATTTTTGTACGGATGTATAAAAAAGATGCAGCAAATTCTATGTGGTGAGATCTGGATAGGTAGTATTTTCTATATATCGAAATCCTGATATGTAAATACTAGCGAACGAATGGTTGCATATTTTAAGAATATCTTTCCAATCTAATTCCTATTAAACATTAAAGTATTTATATTTTACATTACTAATCATATTTGAATAGATTGGATATACTAAAATTCTAAAATAATTTCTTAAAGAAACCCACAGAAAATTTTTCTATCTCACTTATGCTCGTCATTTTTCTTATTTATTTTTATTTACTCTTATTAATTATTATGTATAAGCTTGGGTGGGACCCATGAATTGGCCTCATGGATGTGGCCCTTTGTGCAGGCTGCTGTTTCAGCTGCTTTCTTTTTCTTTTCTTTCTCCGACTCTTGTTTTTTTCTTTCTCCGGTTTTCTTTTCTATCTCATATTTCTTCTCTTTCTCTTCTTCTTTTTCATGAATCATCGAGGTATCATCGAGCGATATTCAATATGTTCACTTCACGTTCCGAGTTCATCATTGTATGTGCGCGCACGTCTTACCTATCTTTTTTTTTCTCTTATTTTCTCCTTTTCTTCTTCTTTTCCAGTCTGGATCATCGAAGAATAGATTCATTTGCGATCGGATGATTCCGATATATCGTCGAATAGCTCGATTCATCATCGATTTTTACGCGAGAATTCGGGAAGAATAGAAGAACACTGGTGCGCGTGTCGGCGTGCACAGGGGTGGGTGTTCGTGGGTGAGATTAAACGTCGTTTGATAGCTTGCAATACCCGGGAACACAGATTATAGAGTAGTTTTCCTAACACTCACGTGGGCGCGAATAAAATTTCTACTGTGAATTTCATTTTTTCGCTCGAAAATGCGATTAGATTACTTCACGAATGCGGATTTTAGAGTAGTCACCGTTATTTTAACACTCACGTGAATGTCACGAACGTATAACAAAAGTCCTACCGTGGTTTCCGTTTTTTATTGTTTGATAATCGGACAAACGGTTGTGTTTATTAATCCGTTATATCCGAAGTTGATAGTGTCGGACAATGGAGCTATCCATAAATATGGTCTCACACATCTTTTATTAGTTAAAAAGCCGAAAGCTCACTAAGCGGAAAGACATTGCGGAATGGCATCACGTAACAAAATCACGGAATTTTAGAACAGAGTAGAGGCAACGTTAACCCGTGATCCTTCGAATGCAGCAATCACCATCAAGGTCGCTAATACTTAGGATGTATCGAAATCTTATGGGATGTAAGTATTACCGAGCGAATGATTGAATATTTTAAAACTTTTCCAATATCTTTTCAATCTAATTCCAACTAAACAATTGAAGTACTTACATCTTATATTAAAATCTAATCATACTTCAACAAATAAATAGATTGGTAGAATTCTAAAATAATTTCTTAGAAAAACACATTAAAAAATTCTAATTTCTTTATTATTTTTATTTATTCTTATTAATTGTTGACACCCTCTAGTCTACAGGATTACTAGAACAAAACGGCACATATTGAATATTTAAACATTCCAACGAATTATCTTGACCCACCCCTGACCAATGGGCATCTATTCCTTTCCTTTCCATGCTCAGATCATACTTCAACTCCGCCCTTTTTATTCCCTTTCCTAATTTCACTATAGTCTTCGCGGATATTTCTAAAGACGTCAAAAAGACAGTGAAGTTACATCTTTCAGACTTATGACATGTAGATTCTCGAGTCTTATTAAACATTACTGGCTTATAAACATCACTCCTTTAGAAATAGCCAGCAGAACTAATTACATATCATTACACAAAATACATCAACATTAGTATCTTATTTCAACAAATATACTATGATAGCTTCAATTTGCGCAATTTTTATTATCGCGCATCTACCTCGCGCGAGTTTCACGGGATCCTTTAATAAAACACGCGTTCATCCATTAATTTGCGGAAATGCAGTGAGCGGTATTTTGCTGACGGTCTTCAACGGTATCCTAGTTTAGTGTTGCTGCCCTTATTCATTGCGACTAATAGGTCTATAACTCTGATGACAAGGAAGAGATGGGAGAAATTCTCCGTGAAAATTGGCTAACATTGCTGGTCCGGTGTGAGACGCGTATCTGGAAACGCTCTCGTAGTTGCGCTTTCACGACGCAACATTAATTTATATATTAATATAAATATTAAATAATCAGAAAAGTATAATCTGGCATATGATTTTTTCTTATGTTCGTGAAATGCACTATTACTTTTACTACATAAAAAAATTTTTGTCATACACTAAATCAATTTTTAGGTTACGAGTGGACATATGTAGCCTATATAAGCTTATATACCGATGGTATAGTCGCATCATAAGGACAGTGTTTCCTTATTGTGCTTATAGTTAATATTTTGTCCATACTTGTCGCTGAAATCGTACACGATTCGAACGAAAGATGGTGCTCGTATGAAAATCAATTTCTGAGATTATTGGCAATAAAAGGTTATGTTTTATAGAATGACGTTATGAATACACGTTTCTACAAGTTCTTATAACGCAATTTTATAATAAATATGTTAAAATGGAAAAGCCCTGTCGAACGTGCACTGACTTTAAAACATGGGTAAAGTTACAGCAGCAAATTTTTGATTCAGGAAAGGTATGTTTAATAGAAATAAATATTAAAAAAATAAAAATAGAAATAATCTATTTATCTCTTTTAGAATGATGCTCAAAAGCAGCAAGCAAATAATACTAGTACAAACATTACTACTACTCAACGTGATGATTGTCCGTTAACTAGAGATGAAATAGGTTCAAAAACATGGGCATTTTTACATACAATGGCAGCCCGCTATCCTGATCATCCAAGTGAAGAACAAAAAAGTGATATGAAAAAATTCATGTATATATTTTCTAAGTTTTATCCCTGCCACACTTGCGCAGAAGATTTTCAAGAACAATTAAAAAATATGCCACCACAAACTGACTCACAGAAAATCTTGAGTCAATGGCTATGTGCTGTTCATAATAAGGTAAACAAAAAGTTAGGTAAACCAGAATTTGATTGCAAATTAGTTGACCAAAGATGGAGAGATGGATGGTTAGATGGTTCGTGTGATTGAATTAAAAAATGGCTCATAATCAGCAAGCATTTTCTCTGTTGAAATGAATAATAGATTTATCTTGAAGTTGTAAATACATGAATAAATACCTACAAAGATATTGGTAGGCAATACAGAAACAAAAGATTCACAGTTACACAAGATTATATAAATGTTTGTTTATATGGATTTAATACAATATACATTTTTATGAACACTATTTTTAGGTAAATAATAATTTTAATGATATATGCATGCTAGAAATATTTTAAGATAAAAACCTTCTAAAAGCATAATAATGAAAATATTATTTACACCTCATAGAAATTTTATCCATCATTTCGTACTTTTTACATATTACTCCTAAGAATAAGAGGAAGAGATAATAACAATTATGAGATTGTGAATGCTGTAACTACTTTTCGGAATCGAGGCTCATAACTGTGATTTTGTCCATTACCGCCAACTGGAACTACTTGGCATGTTCTAATATGAAATGGAAAACGCGAATTTGCAATAGTAGGCCGTGTAACGTAAAGAAATGTTGCATGCCCCACAAGAACAATCCAAAGAGAGCATCCTCTTACAACACTCTCCCTTATCCACTTGTCTACAAGCACAGTAATACACAGTACCTGTGAAATCGACAAAGCATCTTTGTATTTTCTATGTATATAGTAAAGCATGTCTATTGAATTATTAAGCATATAATTAATTAGCATTTTATATATATATATTTATTATTTGCTTATGTGTTTGAATAAGTTTAATTAACTACCGTCAACGGATGACATAAGAACCATGCTGATCCTAAAGAAAGTAGAGATGCATAAAAATGGACTTTTTTTGTCATCTTCTTAGTTGTTTTAAAACAACGAAGAACAAATATAATCCATGCAATCAATTTCAATGCTACTAGTCCATAACCTGGTGGTGATTCATAGATATAAAGGACTAAACCAGGATCAAAGATCTCAAATTGATACATATATAATGCCAGTTGACAAGCTGCACTAAGACAAATGAAATATGTAAGCCATCGAATTTGTTTAGGTGTTAATGCACTTTTAGTGATAGTGTAGCCGAATGCTAACAGTAGCATAAGCACTGTATATAAAGTTTCTGAACATGCTTCTAAAAGATGACCCACTAAAGAAGCACTAGTTATAAAAACTCCTTTCAATGCGAGATTAAAATAACTGTAAATTTCTAATAAAATGCCCATTAGCTGACATAGAAGAGAACCCATAAATAATTTATATGAAACATGTAGGAGTCTTCTTGAACGTAATTGTACAGCTACATAAAAACATAATATGAGAAGTACTATATAAATGCAAGCTGTTATTAGTAATTCTGGTAGTATATCTGTAATTAAAAAAATATCCATTAAAAATAATATATTACCATATTAAGTAAAGTAAAGATTTAGTAATAATAGTAAAGATTTTTACTGAAAAAATACTTGCAAAATTCATCCGCAGAAAAGTGTTCTTTCCATATGTTACCTGGAGGTGCATTTGTTAATGAAATCCAATATGTAACATTTAAACCTGTTTTAGTAGAACAATCTGATAATACGATGAACCACCATGTTGGTCTGGATGATTGAAATCTTCTGTAGCTATTGCAATGTAGCGATGAATTATTTTTTACATCACATCCAGATTTGATTGATGTCAATGCAGACAATTGTACTATCTGACCATTTGTTATGCTTAAAATAGATTCTTTTTCTTCGCATGTTTTGTTTGAAGGATACACACTAGGCCATTGATGAGGCGCATCATAATACAGTAAAAGATTTAGCGAACTATTTTCACCCTCAATTTCTAAATCATATCGAAATATGCCTTGTTTTGTGAGAAAACAAAATCTTGCAAGAAAGGCCCAATTCTGTAAAAAATATACATATTATCATGTTTACAAAACATATTGTTAAAAATATTTTTTTAAATGTTTTCATTTAATACGCTATATGTATATTGTTTAATTTCATATGTATAATGATTTGTTTGGTTAATCGATAATTCGTCAATTATAATTTAAACAGGCATAGAATCATTCAGATTGAAATATTTTTATTATCGAATTAAAAAAAAAAAATATATAATTTCGTATATTTTTCAATCCAAACAACGTAACTTCGTAAAATGTTGCTATACAAAATATATTTTGCGTTTACAGATGCTTCTATTTCAAAAACTAAATAAATTTTTTTTAATACATCACGCGTTACGAGAGTCCCACGAAGTATTTTACTATTTATATGATGCAACAAGGTTAACAAAGTAATGCAGAATCTTAAAAATTTACTTGACATAATTAACTCTATATACTAGCGGATCGGAAAAGAATGTACTCAATCATAACTAGTACAAAGACTGAGTAGCTATATTGCGTTACCAAGTAGTTAACTTCTATGATCAATATTTTCTTTACTACTGGATCTACATAAATGTGACTCTTTCCATGAAATGTCGATGTTTATTTTTTTCTCTACAATGAAAAAACATAATATTTTCAAACATTATAAGTTAATTAAAAAAATATAAGTTAATTAAATCTAATGAAAAGTAAAAGCATTTTAGCTTTTGGAGTTTTTAAAGTTCCTTTACCATTTTTGTATAATTTTCTATATTATCGACGTCTAATTACAGAATTTAATTATCACTGATACGAGTATAAATTAAAAATAGAAATCTAGAATAAAAATCCATTTTACTAATTAATAATGTTAATGTATTCTTTTCAAGTTATATATTTATTTATTGGAAAAAAACAAACATTATTATTTATTATTATTAAGGATCATGTTTTTCTAAAATGATATTTATTATTAATTATATTAATTCATTTAGAAAATAATATTATATTAATAATTACATCTTTTATATGTATTCAATAAAATATATTGCAAATTACTCGTAGAGAATGGAACAGGTGTCGTGGTATATATAATTAGTTACTTCTTCGCAATGATCAATATATTTCGAAAAATAGAAAGATTTGTAAAGAAAATGTTGAATTTAATAGAAAAAGAAAATCGCTTTGTGTAGCATAAATTATCGAAAAAGAAAAGATAGGAAACTTTAAAGTAGAAACACACGATTGTACCGACTGTACACTACAAATATAACATATCGAGGGACGCACTAATTATTTAATGAATGATTTCCGGCAAGAGCATGTCACATGTATAACTTATCAAATTTTTTAAATCCAATATAGAAAATAATAATATAGTTATGTTGATCAAGAAGAAATGTTGAAATTTACAGTAAAACATATTCATATTGTTTTTTTAGATAATCGTCTAATATTGTTTATTTAGATATAAAATACTGAAAATTCTAACATTATTCTTATTGGCCAATACATTATATATATAATATATATATATATAATATTTATTTATATATAGTATATGTATACATAGTTCTATGTATGTTTTTTATATATTATATATATATAATATTATATAATTATAAATATATATATTTATACAGTATACTACAGATTTGTAGATAAATGTATTTACAATTATTTTTATCTCTATTTTATGAACAAATAAAAATGTGTTATTTTATTGAACAGGGAAAAAAAGGAAAGAGAAGTATAAAGGGAATCTGATTTTGTTCGTTGATAATGTAAGAGTTAAATTCAATTTTCCCCGATACAAAAAAAAACATTTGCCTTGAAAAGATGTTGAATGTCATACCATTTCAACTCTAACTCGCAGGGACCTACGAGAAAATCCAGTTTAGGTAAGCTTCATATTCCTTACCCCATTTCCTATTCAAACAATATATCACGTTCCTCTGTTACTTAGAATCTGTTTAAGGTAAAAGACGGTTTATTCTTACGTAATTCATACTCATTGGTCGATTTTTCCCTACTTTCGATCGTCTCAATGTAAAATATGCGCGACACTAAAAATATCCCTTGTAATAAAATTAATAATGCTTATCATACATGTATATTAACTCGTAATTGATCCTTGATAGATTAGATATTTCGTATAAGATTATTTTTCATTCTGAAATTTATTTCATATTTTAAACATAATTTATCGCGAAGGGATACGAATGTAATAGAAAGAGATAAGCATCATCAAGTTTCTTTTCTTTTTTTATTATAATGTTATTTTTCTCCTTTGACATTAATTCATTACTGAGCGAGTTAATTTTAAATACATACATACATAAATCGATAACGTCCACTTATAACGCCATTGATAATTTATTTTTGAACACAGCTACGGGAAGATTCATTGTCGTATTCGCTTTTAATTTATGACAGCAGGATTGTTTTTAAATATATGTTAAGAAGGAGTTATATTATATTTTTTTATTATAGTTTTTTTTTCCTTTTTTCGGAAAACAAATAATACTTCATACGATAAGGCTTCTTATCGCAGGGGTTTCTTATGGTTTTCTTACAGTGAAAATTATAACAAACGATTATCTAAAAAATAATTGAAAATATTCAAAAAAACATTCTATTAGATTCTTATTACATAAAAAATCGTATGTTTGCATTAGGAAAGCTCTCAGCTACAAAAAAAATTGTTAATTTTCACGAAGAAACGAGATAAAATATGTTGAACGTTGCTATATAGGCGATTTTCAATAAATTAAAATGATAATATCTTATAAATATTTCTTAAATGAGCATTTAAATATACAAATATGTATCTATTATTACAAAGTACACATAAATCTATTTATATATAAATTCGGTTTCCGTATATTTATACGAACTAATATTCGAATTCTTCTATGTTTTTACAGAATCACTCTCAAAAATTATTCCAAAGTATCAATATATAAATATCATGTCGGAACGTAAAAGACAAAGAAAAACAATGGAGTTATTTAAATCAGAGAGGTTTAAACTTTCCATAAAAAAGAAAAGAAAAAAATTTTCACTATTACTATATATATATATATGAATACGTGATAGCATTGCAACGCGCCAAAGTAACAATAGTAAACAATGGCTGAAAAGTATTGATTTGATGATAATAAGTGTCCGTTGATATAAGAAAAGAAAATAAAAGAAGGTGGAAGAATAAGAGTTAATTGATTCTATGAGACAACTTTACAGGTTTCTGAGCTAGACAAATGCAAATATTTATTATTAACATCTTCCCTTTCTCTCTCTCTCTCTCTCTCTCCCTTTCTCTCTCTCTCTCTTTCTCTTCTCTCTTCTTTCCCTTTCTCTCTCTAGATTCTATATCTGTCTCCCTTTCTCTCTATCTCGAAAGATACCCGCCGAGAAGTTCCGCGCGAGCATTCTCGGAGTTGAAAGTAATACGCATGCGTCTGTAAAATCGTTTCGACCGCACCGCTCGAGATGCGGATAAAGCGGTGCATCGCGTTTGGGTTGACTTCAGGACCACACGAATAGAGTTGTCTAGCTGTTGTATATAAACTGTTAACTTGTTGATGAGGAAGGTAATAACTGGTGGAAGAAAAAAGCAAAGTGATAAGAAAAAAGGAAGGAAAAAAGAGGAACAGGATTGGCAAATGAATGATAACAACGACGAAGAGAGAATACTTGGAATTCTTTCAATTTTTATTTGACCACAAGAAAAATAAAGAAAAGCTTTTAAGAGAAATAGAAGAAAAATAATAACAAACATATTCAAGAAAAATAATAACAAACATATCCAAGGAATCTATAGTGTCTCCTCTTGTTTTGTGTGATAAAAATTATTTACTTTATTGGACATGATTGTTTTTTTCTTGAGAAGAGTAAAAGAAATATTTAAGGGATGAGCTGATATCGCTTTGTTCGGATTTTAAGAGAGAGAAAGAGAGAGAAAGAGAGAGAAAGAGAGAGAAAAAGAGAGAGAGAGAGAGAGAGAAAGAAAGAGAGAGAGAGAGAGAAAAAGAGGGAGAAGAGGAAAATGAGAGTGATCGTCAAAATGATAGCGATTATGTCTACTGATACCACTTTGTTATCAATAAAATAAACGTTTAGGCATGATAGGCAGGAAAAGAGAAGATTAAAAGTGGTACGTTAAAGGAAGGAATATATCGTAAGAAGAAAAAATAGACAAGGTAAGGAAATGTGTGATATTGCATTGTTTAATACAGATTTTTCCAATTCAATCAGAATATGCGTGTATATGTGTGTCTATGTTGTATGTGTGTGTCCATGTTGTATGTGATAAACGACACAAAGTGAATATTATATTATCATCGTTATTTCTTTTTCCTTTCATTATTTGTTTTTGTTTTTCTGTACTGGACAATTAGAAATTTGAAGAATTATTATTTTTCGATAGATGCGCCAATAACGAGATAAGTTTTCTTCGTTCTTCGATTTTTCTTTTATTCGCAAAATGATCATTTTCTTTTTTTTTGTTTTTGTTTTTTTTTTTATCTATAATTTATAGCTTACTTGATAATTAAGAGATTAATGTTTTGTACAAGCGATCATGATGTCCACAAGTAATCGAATTGCTACGATTGATTAATATCAAACGAATCGTTTTGTCTGTATATATTCATTTATTTAATTATTAAATATTATTTCACGCAAAGTGGATATTCTTTATCTTTTGGAATCGATAAACTCAAGTGTTTTTTCTGATAAGATTATTTCAAAAAGAATGTGAACAATTCTTAAAATTGTAGTTACCACTAGTTTTATATCCTTTCAATTCTAATATTTGTTTTCTCTTTTTTTTTTTCAAAAATCTTGAACGAAAGTTGAGCTAATTAACCAATTTCTACCACGTAGTATGTAAAAGTAAAAAAAAATTGATTTCGAAAAAAATCCACAAAATTATATATATATATATATATATATATATATATATATATATATATATATATATTTGTGGATTTTTTATATATATATATATATATATATATATATATATATATATTTTTTAAAGCAACATTTTATCACAATTTTTGAAATGATCATATTCATGTTTATCGATAATCGAGAATGATTAATATTCCAAATTTTATTTTATCAAATTAACCGAAATAAATCGAATATGATCGAATTTGAATTTACTTAGATTTTCTATTCGATTTTATTGTATATAAAAAGAAATCATATTTTATTTAAAGAAATAAAGAGCTGACCTTTATATTTTGAAAAATCAAGAATTGTTATCGCGCAAAATTGGTATAACGTGAGACACAAGTGATAAATTTTTTGTTTTTGCGTTTGAACAATTATATATTGAAACGTGCATATGTATGTATAATAATTGAGATAAACTATTCACTTATCGACTTCTTTAGTAAAGAGGAAGGATGAAAAAACCAAGAAGTTATAAGATAAAATTGATTATAAATTTATGGAAATTATTATCTACTTTTCTTTTTAGGTATTGAACGCAAAATATGCTTTGGAGAGTGACGGAAAGCAAAGAAGAATTTTCGTCAGGCATGTTTATACGAAAATTTTTCGAAAATAAGAGATAACAAACTTTAAAAACCGGCTAAAGAATGAAGAAAAGATTGTTTTTCGGTTTCGTATGTGCCGTATTACTCTTTATCGTAATGACATCAAACGATAATACTATTGTGCAAAAAGTTACAAATTTTATTATAACAGACAGCAATGATGTTTCATGTTATGAGATCTCTACTACTTATGGTTTTCCTCACTTGGAGTCTGGTACGTTACTTTATTTAAGATATTATTCAATTTTAACATTCAGATACATTTCAATTTCAAACATTCAGATATTATTCAATTGTAATATTCAAATGTAAAAATTTGTATATATATATATATATATATACTTTTCTTTTTTTTCCGTCTCTCTGACATTTATCTTATTACTGAGGAAATATTATATAATTCGAATGTTATTATAAATTCTTATGAAATCGAAGAATTGGACTCGAAGAATTCCACGATTTTACACTCGTTGTTATTATTTATTATTTTTTTTTAACAAACAAAAAACATTAAAAAATTAATCTTTTGCTATTATTAAATTTAATTATTATCATTTAAAAGTTTCTATTTCGATAATTTTTAATAACTCGAACCATTATTTATTATAGAAATATCTATTTGATACAAATTCACGATTGGAATTTTGATACAATAATATAATATAATTTATTATTATTTATTTTTTGTCATCACATATATATATATGTATGTATATATATATATATATATATATATATATATGTGAAAATGCACATCTGCTGTAACAATAAAAAGATAATTTGTTTGTCTCACTGTACGTATTAATGTATATAATCAATAAATTCGTCATAAGTGAAGATTTCATTACTCATGTTATTCGCGAACATATTATTCCATTAGAAATTATTAATATTGAGACAATGCAACCTATTAGCTTGAGAAAGAAAGGATACGATTATCTATGTATCTATATATATGTGTATATACATGAGCTTAGCTCTTTGATGTAGGGAATTTTAAGAAAAAAAGATTTTAATTACACAGAAGGTCGTGAAGTTGCTGTTTCAATGTAAGATGAAAATCATTCCATATATAAGTATCAAAATGTCGGGACACTTTTCATTCCACTATGTTCACAAAGAATTAAGTACAATCTAGTTAATTTATCGTTTTAATATGTTTATACGCGACTCGCCTTGAAGAAATAAAGTTAATAACAAATTCTAGAAAAATAAAGTGATGACACTATCGAAAGTATATATACGAAAATGTATATATAT